CCTGTAGTCCCAGCTACTCGGGAGGCTGAGGCAGGAGGATCGCTTGAGCCCAGGAGTTTGACGTTGCTGTGAGCTAGGCTGACGCCACGGCACTCTAGCCCGGGCAACAGAGTAAGACTCTGTCTCAAAAAAAAAAAGACATTTTAAGGTATTTCACAATGCCCTCAATCAGTAGCATAGTAAGTTACCTGTGAGTGATCTGACTCAGACTGGAGGTCTCACTAAGCTCATTTGGGGACAGACCCCTCATGGAGGTCATGGCTATGCAGACCAGCCCCCCTGGGGTGCTCCCTCTCCTTCCCCAGACTCTCACTCTCAGCCACTTGGGTGCACGGTGGGCTGCGTGCCCCATCATGCGCCTCACCTGACCGCAGGTGCTTGGCTGAGCACCGAGCTCAGTGCCAGGGATTTGAAGATGATCAGAACGTGGTCCTGACTCTCAAATTGCTCATGGATGACACTCGTACAGTGAGTGACGGGGCCAAGGTAGCACAGGCATGGTGGGAGACAGAAATGAGGTGTCCAGCTGGGCTGGCCAGGGTTCCAGGAGCAAGGCTGCCATCCTCAGAGTGCCATGTTCTAGAAGAACATCTATTTATGAAGGTGCCATGGAGACTCTTGAACAAGTCCTAGACCCAGACCACAAGGCTCTGTGAAACTGAGTGTGTTCCTGGGAGAAAAAGAATAGGTAGACATGGGCTCTGGAGAGCAAAGAAAGTTCTGCAGACATTACAGGGAATGTCAAGTGTTTAGACTACTGGGCTTAGAAACAGCGTGCATGGCGGGCACGGTGGCTCACGCCTGTCATCCTAGCACTCTGGGAGGCCGAGGAGGGTGGATTGCTCAAGGTCAGGAGTTGGAAACCAGCCTGAGCAAGAGCGAGAACCCCATCTCTAGTATAAATAGAAATTAATTGGCCAACTAATATATATAGAAAAAATGAGCCGGGCGCTGGTGGTGTGGCCTGTGTATCCCAGCTACTCTGGGAGGCTGAGGCAGGAGGATCGCTTGAGCCCAGGAGTTGGAGGTTGCTGTGAGCTGGGCTGATGCCACAACACTCACTTTAGCCTGGGCAACAGAGTGAGACTCTGTCTCAAAAAAAAAAAAAAAAAACAACAAAAAAAGGCAAAAACAGCATTCATACCTCTTTGGGATAGAGCCTTATTGGAACCCTTTTAAAATTAGTCTTAAGGAATCAGGGTTAAGTGGGAGGAAAAAGGTCCATTTAACTAATATTCTCTTATATCACATCAGGACAAAATTCTGTGTGTGTGTTTGCTGTAGGTATTTTTACTGCCATTTTGGAGGAGGTTTATGGTTTTCTATCAAACTTCCATCATTACAAAGCTCATACTTGTATAGACAAGCTGAGGGAAAGCCTGATTGACATTAATCTCAAATGTGTTGCTGGGAAGTATTTTCTTTTCTTTTTTTTTTTTTTTTTGGTTGTCTTTGAAGTGAAGATCAGAGGTGATTCTTTGTCACCCACAAAACTTTGATGTTTTCCTGAACTCTTGCTCACAGCCAAGATGGAAACGCCAACATACTCTCACAAGGTCCACAATCATTTTGTGATTAGGTGAGAAATTTGTTGGGGGGAAAATGCAATTTCTTCCTGCTCAGTTGTAACTTTGAAATGTTCCCGGGCATCCCGGAGGGAAAGATAGTTCCAGAACAGAAGTATTAACACCCATTAACAAAGTCTATTTGAACACCGGTTTAAAATAAAGAAAGGACTTTCCTTAGCATGTTTGGAGTGGGAGATAGTGAGGGTGTGGTAGGCTTGTTGGGCTCAGGCTGGGGTGTCGGAGCTGGACAGATTGAGCTTTGAATCCTGTCTCTGTCATTTATTAGCCGTGCGCCCTTAATCAGCTCACATCCTCCATAAATAAAATGTAGACAATGATATTGTTAGGATTAAACGTAACGACATACTTAAACTGCCTAATATATCAGTCGATGCTCAAAAATGGTAGACATGTCAATCTTGAGCAAAACAGTCATCTCATAAAATTTTTACTCCTGGCAGTGAACCTGAGCATTAAGAAATGAACCCATCTATTAACAAATGCATGGGTGATTTCTGGTTATTTCTGGCTCTTTCTTACAACTACTATCCTCTCCTTAATTTATAACTTGATATGTGTACATAGAAGGAGGTGAAAGTAGTACCTAAACTTTAATCAACAGAGTGGCCCTCCAATCTGTGAGAAGGCCCCACTGTGCCACAAAGCTTCAAGAGAAGAGAATGGGGGATGGATGGTGGAGAGAAACCCCTCCCTGGACCACAAGAACAACCAAATCCACCCATCCAACCATCCATCCATCCACCCACCCACCACCACGTGCGAAGCAGTGGGGCCACAATGTTAAGTAGACGCCTGCCCTTAAAGAGTTTATAGTCTATGGATCACTGGAGTGACAGATTTGTCCACCAGATTGCCTTCACATCAGGTGAGCAAAAGAAGAACATCCCATCCCAAATAGATCCACATTCTAGAAAATTTGAAAAAAAGCACAAATAAATGAAGAAAATGATGATCACTTTTAATCTATTTCCTAGACCTAATCTCCATTAACATTTTGGTGAATTTCCTTAAGGTCGTTCTTCTTTCTTCTTTTTTTTTTTTTTGAGACAGGATCTCACTCTGTTGCCCCAGGCAAGAGTGCAGAGCATCATCATAGCTCACTGTAACCTCGAACACTTCTGGGCTCCAGTGTCCATCCTGCTCAGCCTCCCGAGTAGCTGATAATAATAGTGCACGTGCCACCATGCCGGGCTAATTTTTTTACTTATATTTTAGCTGCCATTAATTTCTTTCTATTTTATGTAGAGGGATGGAGTCTCTTTGGCTCAGGCCTGGGTCTTGAACTCCTGAGCTCAACGATCCTCCCCCTTGGCTCTCCAGAGTGCTAGATTACAGGATGAGCCACCCCTGCCGTCAGCACCTGTTAATCAGACACACATTTATGCATCTACATGCATATACACATACATACAATAATATTAAAATTTTTAGAGATGGGGTCTTGCTATGTTGCCCAGGCTGGACTGGAACTCCTTGGATCCAGTGGTCCTCTGCCCAGCTCTCCCGGTAGCTTGGACTATGATGTGAGCTCCGCATTTGGCGTTAAATAGGTTTTCTCTTCTCATGGCTTTCACTTCCTCTCCCAATAGGGTTCTGTCACAATTTTCAAATGAATATTCAGGATTTATTTCATTATAATTGCTCAATTTATATACCCAATTACATACTTTATATATTGTTTAACTATTAGATCTTATTACTGAGCCAAGTTATTATATGATAATTCTATATATTATTTTTTACCCTTTTTTTTTTCTGATGGCTAACTTTTCTGTCTTAATTCTCTTTCTCTCCTAGACATTGCAAGAATAAAGCCCTATGGAAAGGTGTAACCCTCAAATCAAAGGCTGCAATTCAGTGAAAACGTGTACTAATATGCTTGCTGCTGCTAATTGAGACTATGAGGAAAACAATTTGTTCCTACCATTATTCCTGGGCAGAAAAAAAACAACAAAACCAAAATAATGATTTCACATGAAAATTTACAACATTCCAACACATGGGGCTGATATGTAAATTTGTATTACCAGCATGGTGAGGAAAAATCTTGAGCTCAGACTTTATGTTATTAATAAATGGTCGCAGTTTGCAAACACTTCCTGGCATGTGGCCAAGACAGTTGCCAAGCCACTCTAGAGGGAAGAGCCCTGAACTCAGGCCACTCAGGGTTTCTGAAAATCAAGTGCAGTTGTTACTGAAAGCTCAGCCCCAGGCCGAATCAGAAAAACAAGGACAAGTAGTTGGAGAGAAGGAAATAGATTATTTCTTTGCCAGCAAAGGGAGGAAAAAGGCAGACTATTGTCCTAAAATCCAATTTTTCTCTCCCATAGCGAAGTACAGAGGCTGGTTTTCTTTTCTTTTTTTTTTTGATTAATGGTTCTCACCTGTTTGCCCAGGCTGAATGAGTGCTGTGGTGTCAGCCTAGCTCACAGCCTCAACTCTGGGTCAAGTGTCTCTGCTGCATCTAGTAGCTGGACTCAGCTGGCCACCTGCCGTCTTTTTTCAATAGTATATAGTGGCCATTACTTTCTTTCTATTTATAATAGAGATGGGGTTTCACTCTTGCTCAGGCTGATTTTGAACTCCTGACCTTGAGCAATCCTCCTGCCTCGGCCTCCCAGAGAGCTAGGATCGGTGAGCCACTGCACCTGGCCAATACAGAGCTGTTCTCTGTATTGGGGAGAGTTCTCAGGTTTAGGGTGGAGTTGTGAACTGCTGCTAATGGTTCTGATGCTTTCATCTCCAGAATCTGTTGGGAGCCCCCACTGGTCTGGACTGGTGAATCCTGGGTCCTTCATCTCTTGCAAAGCAAAGAACAAAGAAAATACTTCCCTGGCCCACCCAGCTGCTGGCCTTAGGCAGGAAAGCTGGTTTTAGTGAGAAACAGAATATACACTTTTTCTTATTTGAGACAGAGTCTCACTCTGTAGCCTGGGCTAGAGTGAGTGCCATGGCATCAGCCTAGCTCACAGCAACCTCCAACTCCTGGGCTCAAGCGATCCTCCTGCCTCAGCCTCCCAAGTAGCTAGGACTACAGGCATGTGCCACCATGCCCGGCTCATTTTTTTTTTTTCTCTCTATATTTTTAGTTGGCCAATTAATTTCTATTTTTGGTAGAGATGGGGGTCTCGCTCTTGCTCAGGCTGGTTTTGAACTCCCGACCTTGAGCAATCCTCCCACCTTGGCCTCCCAGAGTGCTAGCATTACAGGCATGAGCCACCCCCGCCTGGGCCTGGCCTAAAACTTTTGGCCTCAAGCAATCTTCCCACTTCAGCCTGGTGAGTTGCTGGGATTACAGTTATATGCCACTGCTCCTAGCTAAAAAATACAGGTTTTAGTTCCCTCATTTAATGAATAAACTATAAATTTAAAAAAACTATAAATTAAAAAAAAATTTTCATTTTCATCAGGCTTGATGAAAAATCAAAATGCTTTTAAAAAGAATTAATTATCCAAAGAAATAAAAGCTTATATTTTCTCAGATTTTTATGCATAGGAACATTATTACAGTTGACAAAATAACCTTAAAACGTCACATAGTTGCATGTGGTTCTTCTGCGCATGCCTGATGCCTGATTCCACCTGTGACTCACCAAGCAAGTCTGGCAACTCCTGGTCCAGACCCTGTTAATGAGATGCATCCAATAATAATTCATGTACCTAGATGTTGCAGCGACGTCAAATTGCTACAAAGTGTTTACGTTCTTACTCTCAATTTCTGTACCCGTAACAGAGAAGATGCAGACCAGGGCAGACCGGTGGACAGACTGCAATTTTAGTAGCACTAATCTAGAAAATTGCTGGTTCTGGTGACAGATGGTAAAGAGATCCCTGATGGGACATGCAGTGTCACTTAAATGCATGGTAGGCAAAGGAAGCAACAGTCCCTGTGGCCGCTGTGACCCTTGAATGCCTCTCGATGCTTCTTTTGTCTCTTGCTTTTCTCATGACTCTAGGAGACCATGCATTTAATTTCTCTTGATTTCTGCTCTGTTGCATTTCTCAATCTGTGGCCTCTATGTGGCCATATAACTAGAACCTATATATTAAATATCAGTGTTTCTGCGTTTTGGTCCCAAGGTGAATATGTATCAGAATCACTTGGGAAACTGCTAAAAAAAAAACAAACTCAGATTCCTGAACCCGACCTGAAAAACGCCAATTCAGCATCAAGATTCCCAGGTACCCCTGTGCAGTCTGTAGTTTGCTTTCCTTGTTTGTCTGTCTCACTAGGCCACTCGATGTCAACAATGTAGTAGTTTTCTTATAAAAGTCACTTACGAGATTTTAAAAGCAAGGCATCACCCATCTTGGTAGTATTTGTCTTCTTTTTCTGTTTGTTTGTTTTTGAGACAGAGTCTCACTCTGTTGCTCAGGCTGGAGTGAGTATCGTGGCATCAGCCTAGCTCACAGCAACCTCAATCTCCTGGGCTCAAGCGATCCTCCTGCCTCAGCCTCCCGAGTAGCTGGGACTACAGGCATGCACCACTATGCCCGGCTAATATTTTCTATATATATTTTTTAGCTGGCCAATTAATTTCTTTCTGTTTTTAGTAGAGACGGGGTCTCACTCTTGTTCAGGCTGGTTTCAAACTCCTGACCTTGAGCAGTGAGCCCGCCTGGGCCTCCCAGAGTGCTAGGATTACAGGCGTGAGCCACCACACCGAGCTGTATTGGTATTCTTTTTTTTTTTTTTTTTTTTTAGGGGGGCCAAACCACGTGGCTTTATTATACACTCGTGGACGAGGTTCTGGGGCCCCAAGAGCGGGGGGCCCCGGAAGTCGCCCTGTATTGGTATTCTTTACATAAATTATTTCACTTACCCTCCCAGCATCCTAAAAAAATAGGTTCGTATCTCCCTTTGACACATCAGAAAAACTAAAGTTCCTACCTGCGTTTTACAGGTTAAGCAAAGAGCTGCTCAATCTTTGCAGGCCAGCAAATAAATGCAAGGGCTGGGACGTGAGCCCAAAGCCCGACTCACTCCTTTGCATGCTCCTGGCTCATGCTGTGATGTGTTTGATATTGACTAGCTAACAGACATACCAGGACATACCCCACGTGCTCCTTGCAGCTACTACTCACACAGATGATCTACATTTGGGTGACTCAATATGTCGTTAATAAAAGAAATCCAGTTAATAAAACAACATGTATAGTATGATCCCATTTGTCAGCTATATTCCAAAATGTTAACAGTAGGAGAGATTATAGAATATATATTTTTGGTATAATTGTACTGCAGAAGTATGGCAGAGATGGCTGGCTAAAACTCACATTTCCCTCTTTGTTAGCTCTGAGTTACCACTTGGACAGGGGGCCCCGTCGGGGACTACATTTCCCAGCCTCCTTTGCATCCAGATCAGAACACATGACTAATTCTCACCAATGGGATGTGAGCAGGGGTGATACGTCACTTCCAGGGTTGGGCTCTTAAGAGATGAGTTGTGCCTTTTTTTTTTGGTATTCTCCTCCACCCTATCTCCAAGGAAATAGGGGCCACTGGACACACAATTTGGAGTCCAGGTACCTAAGTGACCGTGTGGAGGAACAGCCACTGGCTGAGTGAGAACACCTGCTGGAACTGTTACAGGAGCAAGAAATAACCTGTTTTGCTATGTCATGGGAATTTGGGGATTATTTGTTATAGCAGCTAGTGCTACACTACCTAATACAAGTAATATCTTCTGACTAATAATTCCACTTTATATCTTCTTCTTATTAGACATGTGTGATTTAAAAAAATAATGGTATTTGTGGCATTCAAAGTTTTTAGTGATAGCAAGGAGCTATACCGGAGTGACAAATCAGTATCTAAAATTTGGGGATCAGCTACCCAAACATTTTGCTTTTCCTTGAGTTGAGTAGCATTTTATACACAATAAGTATGTATAAACACAGGACAACTGGCCGGGCGGTGGCTCACTCCTATAATCCTAGCACTGTGGGAGGCCGAGGCAGGCGGATTGCTCGAGGTCAGGAGTTTGAAACCAGCCTGAGCAAGAGCGAGACCCCGTCTCTATTATAAATAGAAAGAAATTAATTGGCTGACTAATATATATATAGAAAAAATTAGCCGGGCATGGTGGCACATGCCTGTAGTCCCAGCTACTCGGGAGGCTGAGGCAGGAGGATCACTTGAGCCCAGGAGTCTGAGGTTGCTGTGAGCTAGGCTGACGCCACGGCACTCACTCTAGCCTGGGCAACAGAGTGAGACTCTGTCTCAAAAAAAAACCAAACCAACAAACAAAATTAACACAGGACAACAGATTGCAAAGTGGTCCTAAGGGCATCAGAAGAATGGAGAAAAGCTTTGCCCATCCTTTCTTATGATAACTCGCCTAAATGAAGGAGGCTGAATTTCATACCTAATTGGCTACAAAGAATCACAGGATTTTAGAAAAGCTGAATGCTGCCTTGGGTTTCATTTCCAGGGAGTATCTTGTTCAACGACTCATAATGAATTGCAGTAACATAATCCAAAGGCAATAAAAATGCCTCAACCACGAGGCTTGATAAGACCCCTAAAGAGTACAGCCCAGCCACATTGTGAGGGATTCTTAATAGGTTTAAGATTTCATCAAAAACTAAGAAGAAGATGAAAGAAAGTTGTGTAATTCCTGGAGGTAGCAGAAGAAATCAGAACAGTTTAATTACTTGGAACGAGAATTAAAGTACCAAATGAAGATTTGCTGATAGAGTTTAGCTCTAAATATAGGGCCATAGTTATTTTCACAGGCAGTATCAAGGTAAAACGGCGATCATATTTTGTTTCTCATGGTTTAGCGATCACTGTGTTCTTTCCTTTGGGGTCTGCATAAAGATGGATACAGATCTCTGCAGACAGAGGCTTTATTGCAAATGGATCATTTCACACTGCCTGGCTGTGTCTACACAAAACCAAAATATCTAGATAAGGGAGTCTAAAGCTTTTTTAAAAAAACTGCCCAATGATGCCAAGGTTTCAATGTTTCCAAATATCCAAGTGTTTGTACCAATCTTTCCAAATATGTAGATGTTGGCAGTTGAGTGGCCGGAACTTGGAGAAGTGCTGCATTTTTTTATTTTTTTATTTTTAGCATAACTATT